CTTTGGGGTAAATACCCAGGAGTGCAATTGCTGGGTCATAGGGTAGCTCTATTTTTAAATTTTTGAGGAACCTCCACACTGTTTTCCAAAGTGGCTGCACCAACTTGCATTCCCACCAACAGTGTGAGAGGGTTCCCCTTTCTCCACAACCTCTCTCAAAGTGGATGGAAGACCTCAATGTGAGACAGGAATCCATCAAAATCCTAGAGGAGAACATAGGCAGTAACCCCTTTGACATCGCCCACTTTACACGTTTTTAAGGAAAAATGTAACCTCTTTACCGTGGATCCAGGCACAAGTTTGATTTCCAGATTTTCCCTGTAATGCAGAGATGATGCTGAAATTTAAGAAGAAGAAAAAATCAAACTGCATTAAAAAATACCTTTTTAATTTGTTCAGTATTTCCAAATAATACTGAGAGCACATTTTTTTGACCTCCTTACTTAAAATATGAGTGTTGTTTTCTTTTCACACGTCCGTAAGCCTGGGTGAAGTTAATGAATCCTAGCAAATTTTCCACTTCAGGGTGACGTGTCCTTAGATCACTCAGCTCTGGGCCTTAACCCCAGACTCGTGCCCTGATCTTAGGCACATAGGCAGCAATAAACCTGGGATAAAATAAATTCTACGTCAGGTACTGCCTGACATTGGTATATCGACTGCAGGACTGTGTAGCAGAAGGGAAGGTGCTCATAGTAGCTGCAAGCCCCTCTCAGCGACCTGGTCTCTCTCGTTCATGCACCGTCCTTTCTCTTGCCTGAGCTCTGAGGCCTGTAGGAATTTTGGCAGGAAAGGGTTTGAGGACTGCTCTTCACGGAGGGGCATTGCCCTGTGGCAAATGGGGTCTGCACTAAAGATTTCTCTCCCCTGACCACAGACCGTCTCTGCACAGCTGCACCTCATGAATTAGTGTATTGTGTGTCCAATTCCAATGACTTTAAAACATTAAAATAACATGGATTTTAGAAAAGTGCTTTTGCTCAAAGGTCTACAAGCTCTTTTATTCCAGCCCATGTGTAATTTATTTACTGGGATGCTCAGAGGATACGTGTCCATCTTATTTATACACAGCCCCATTACAAATGTAATATGAAGGAGCGCTTGGGTGGCTCAGTCGTTAAGCATCTGCCTTCGGCTCAGGTCATGATTCCAGGTCCTGGGATCGAGCCCCGCGTCGGGCTCCCTGCTCGGCGGGAAGCCTGCTTCTCCCTCTCCCACTCCCCCTGCTTGTATTCCCTCTCTCGCTGTGTCTCTCTCTGTCAAATAAATAAATAAAATCTTAAAAAAAAAAATGTAATATGAAAATTTAAAGTCACGTGTGTGACCTGTGGTGCTTCCAGGTGGGTTGATCTCAGGGGCATTGTTGTCACGTGTCCTGTCTTCCGGTCATTGCAGAGAGCTGGTCTGAGTGGTCAGACTGGTCTGAGTGCGACATGTCTGGAGTGCAGGTCCGTGCCCGCCAATGCATCCTTCTGTTCCCTGTGGGTAGCCAGTGTTCTGGAAACACCACCGAGAGCCGGCCGTGTGTTTTTGATGCCAATTTCATCCCAGGTAAGGGCAGGGAAGCTTGTCAGTGTGAACCAAATCATTTCCATCATTTAGAGAGGAAATGAGTCATAGGTGGGAGTTTTATCTGTCATTTGAGGTCTTGTTTGGTGGAACAGAGATGATTCTATCAACTCTTGTGGTTTCAAGGTAATTAGTAGATTTACAGATAACTGTAGGTTTAGGCTTGAATTTGGGCCATGCGTGTTAAGAATTTTTTTTCTAACACAATATCTCCTACAATTTACTGACTATAACACGGTGAGACGATTTTGCTCAAAAAATCAAAATAGATTATCCTGTTATTTTAACATTAGGCTAAATGCCTTTGCAGTGCTGTGTGCATGTGTTTGTACGGAGAAAAAAGGCCAATTCTTTATGCAACCTTGGTTTACTTGGGAAGATGGAAACCTTCCATGGCTCTCATCTTGGAGAAGAGACTGGCTGGCCCTTGGCCTATAGGCTTTTCCATGTGAATCGATGTTCAGTTATTGATGATAGCAAGTCATCTGTCATATGTAGGCATGGTGTTAGATATTTCCAAGTCATTTTGTCTATGTCCACTGTGGACTTTAGAGCAGTGATGTAGACCAAAGCAGAGACCAACCTCCTACAAGGTAATAATAGGTATTTACCTTGTTTTCTTCCACGTATGGAAAAAGTAACCACATTTTAGAGAAAATTATTAGCTTTAGCCTTATAAGGTGCTTCCATCATGTAAGGTATAGAACTGCAAGTATTTATTGTATTGTTTTCCTTTTTGACCACAGACATATTGCTAATTCTTATTACTCACTGAAAAATCAGTACAGGAAAGAATGTCTCTGGTCTCCTGAAATGGTGTTTGATCCCTGTGGGTTAAACCATCCCTAGGATCTGTTCTCTCGTTGGCATTTTACTTGGGTATATAATATGTGTCATGGCAAAGAGCATGAGTGGATGCTGAATGGGGGCTTTATTTGACTTTATGGCGATTTCCTTGGAACTGTAGTGGATTGGTCCCCTCTGCAGGGAATTTGACAACACTGCTTTGTTCAGAGGCAGGAACACCCAGGCAAATACTGTGGGGTGAACACCTGGCAGAATATTTGGTAACAGAAAATCAGCACATACTCTGGCCTTATTTTGAAATTAGTGCCCTGGTTTCAACCCAGAGGACCATAGCCTTTTCTTTCCGTGATAATGAAACTCACTCCTTCTTAATCCAGATGACCTTGACCAAATACATCTGAGGTTGGTTAAAACAAAGAAACGTGCAATTTTTTTTTTAATAAGTAATCAGGCTTTTGGAACTTTGACTCACATAAAACACGAAATCATTAGACATTCTGTAAGTGACTCATTGATGTGCTCTTTCTTCCCAACACCCTTTACACATCGTGATTTAATTTTTTTTCCAGAAGTATCTGTGGCGAGATCCAGTAGTGTAGAAGAGAAACGGTGTGGGGGTAAGTTCCTCTTTTTAACTAATTTTTAATTAATTTCTGATATTTTCCCATCATTTCTTTTCCCATATGTTTCATGTGATGTTTGGCCCAAGAAGAACAGACTGGAGAAACTCTTGATCCAAACACCTTACACTTTGGTTAGTATGAATGCAAGTAGTCAATATTTACATCTGGATGAGTGGTTCTCAGGTACAATATCTACCAGCTCATCAGCATCACTGTGAGAGGTGGTAGGAGTGCATATTCTCAGGCCCTGCCTCAACCTGTAGGATCAAAACCTCTCTGAGTGGGGTCCAGCACTCTGTGGCTTAATGAGCTTTTCGGGTGATTTCTTTAGGTGGATGCTAATAAGCTTTATGAACCAGTGATCTTGATATTAGATATAGTTAAATTTCTTATGAGTAAAAAACTCAATTCAAGCATTTCCTTTATATTTATAGTGCAGATACATGGCAGCCAGCCTCTAATGTGCAGACTGCTGGAGTGACAACATTGTAATGGGGCATAAGGTTATACCTACATCTCTAGAGGTGGTTTTTAAACTTTCTGCAAATCTGAATGACAAAACTCACATTCTCTGGTTCCAGTTCATGCTAAATTTGGACTTGACTGTCTATGTTTACCTTGTCTGGACAGGAGGGGCTGACTCTCCACTGGTCAAAGCCCATCCTCTGTCCACCTTTGGTAATCAGAGCTGGTATCCACACCAAGACCACAGATTCATCCATGTGGCTGGTGACCTATAAATATCCATTCCTGCCATAATCCAGTCCACCAGCAGAGTCCCAGAAGCTCAGCCAGAGGCTCTGGTCTTTGTTTATTTTCAATCAGAATCCAGAGCTTCGTGGATGTGTTTTAGGAATGTACATACTGTTATTAACTACATTGATTAAGAGCTTACTATTTGTTGCATTCTATCTGTTTAGTTAGTTGCTAATCTGTTCATTTATTAATCTTTGCGGAGCACCCGATCCATGAGCTCTGTGAGGGGCACTGAGTTGACCATGGGGACACCAATAGCCCCAGCCCTTCTGGAACCAGCAGTCATATCATAAAAGACCCCAGTGCCTGAGACATTCAGTGTCTGGTGTCTGACCTACATTGGTTCAGAGAGCTCACAGACTGGCAGTCACTGACTTGGGATCCACTGGAAGATGAATAGACACTAGTTCCCATAAAAATAATCAAAGCTGTAAGTGTCCATTAATATTTTTAAATCAGTCACTCTGCACCACCGTATTAAATGGCAAGAAGTATCCTATTTGATCCTCACAAAGAGCGTTCACGTAGGTGCCTTGGCTCACAGTTCCTTAATGTAAAACCTTTGGAAATAAGGAGGGTTTTAGAATTTAGCATTTTTCAGATTTCAGATGGGTCATATGGGGCATATGATGTCTATTATGTAACACTCTGCAGTGCCCAGGGCTACATTCTGTAACCAGTCTCTTTCATGATGCTTTGTGAAGTGTGGGCAAAGTGAAGATGCCAATGCTTCTCCTGCAGTTCTGTTTAGTTCTGCAGCAAAAGGGTCGGGTCAGGTCATGCTTTGCTGCCAGGTGAGTGATGAAAAATCCGTCTCCAGAGATTTTGGTTTTGTGAATTGCGGCCATGCACTGTCATCTGCATTAAGGTTGGTGAGAGTCAGAGGGATGAGGCCACTGGCCAAAGTTCACACAGGTAGTCAGCACTGGAGTCACAGATGGGATCCAGGCAGTGGGAGCTGAGAGTACCACGGGAGAAGGATCCTGGCAGTGGGTATCTGGGAGGATTGTGTCTGGGGCAGCCCTGGTCAGGAGACAGTTTTGGACAACACCCAGGGTCCGGGGACACCTGCTGCCCTTGGAGGCAGCGTAGGTCCAAAGAGAAGCAGAGTTTTTAAGGAGTGCCCCTGTCCTATGGGAGGCCAAGATAGAACTTCGGGTCACCCAGCTGATACCTCTGCAGAGTTGGCTGGTCCTCCATGCCCACCAGAGATTCAAACACCGTTTTCCCCAGCCAGCCTTCTCTGGGTTAGGATATAGGAGACCTTCAAAGGCCTTGAACATCTGGGAGAACATGGTGCAACATCCATTCCCATCCTAAAATGCTGCTTCCGTGTGTCTGAGTCAGATGGGCTAATTGGCTACCCAATCCCAAATCAAGCCTTGACATGCTATTGATTAGATCATAGAGACATTCCTTACTCTTTAATATTCACAACTGATATTTTTAGGCCTTTAGGCTGCTAACATTGACACACCAGGACAGGCAAGTCAGAGGTCATATGGATCTGATTGTAGGGCTGATGGGTAAAAAAAATCACCTAGCAAAGTATTTTGGGATGTTTAGGGAGACAACAAGATGTCTTTTTTTTTTCCCATTTGAAGAGAAATCAATCAGATTTTGTACAGGAAATCATCCAGTTGAGTGAACTGGGTAGGTGGTTTCTCTTCCAGCTTTTCTGACCAAAGACAACAGAAAAAAAAAAAAAAAAAAACATATTCCAAGCAAAGAGCCACATTAAGCAAATTCAGAAGAGATTTAATATACACTATTTTTCCCTATGCAGAAAAATGTAGGCCTATTGAAATTTTTCAATTTATTATTAGTTTTAGTTTTAGTTTCATGAGACACAAAGACTAGATAATCCTCATTAATCCTCATAAAGATGTCAGTTGGCCCCAGCCTCCCCGGGCACCTGCACACGTGATCCATTTGACTAATGACAAAGTATCTGCATATGGAGAGCATCATGAATCTTTCACATGTTATAATAAAATGTTATCAGTGCAGCAGAAAGTACTTTTATCAGTAGATGGCGTTGACCCTGGGGAGTCAAAACGACTAAAGTATAAAACAGTGACACCACGTGTGAGATCTGCTCTCGCTCTTGCTTACCTTGCGCACAGTTTCAGTGTGATGGTGGACGCTTCTGGTGGTGGCTGCTGGGATGCCCCCTGGAAGCTTTGTCCAACCGGCCCCCGTGGGGGGCTGTCCAGCTCTGGAGGCTTCAGACAAAATCGGGAAAGGCCAGGGGTTTATGAATTGCTTCCATTTTGTTAAACCATGGACCAGAGAATCAAGAAGTGAAAAATCGGTGGATGTAGGGAGCAGGTGATGCTTGTGGAATATTCTAGTAACATCTGCCGGGATTTATCCAGGGTCTGGTGCTGAAGACTTGGACGCCTGCATTAGGAATGGGGTAGGAGCGAGGGGGTTGCAGCTTACAGTGAACCCAGCCTCTGTGCATGCTGGCCACTCACCTGGGGAGGCCGCTCCCTCTCTCAGGGGTCCCGGGAACACGGCATCCGGGAGTAGCAAAGGGACATGGCATAGAGGGAGACGTGAGGGTGTGGGGACAGTGAGGGTACCCCACCTCTGCTGCACATTCGGGCTGGAGCCAGGGTGGTTGAGGGACAAACACCCCAGGGCCTGGGTGCAAGGGACAAGCTTGTAGGCCTTCTCTCCCTGAGAGCCTGGGGGCCTCTCTCTGTGGCTCTGCGATTTGCCTGGTGTCTGCAGTGTGCCGAGAAGGCATTTCTAGTGGTTCTCTTTGGGTGCAGGATGGACAGACAGATCAGGGAAGAGCATGGGTGGCACTGCACCCCCTGGTGGTATGTGGAGGGGACACCCTGGGGGAAAGCCAGTCCTCGGGATGTGTCCTGTGTGCAGGGACAAGGCCAGTAACCCACAGGCGACAGGTTACACATAGCACCAGCACAGCGTAGAAAAAGCAAGGTCATGTTCTGCGTCACCCGATTTTCACTAAGCCCAGCTTCATGAGCATTGCCCAGATGTTGTCTTTATTCCCTGAAAGGCTTGAAACCTTCATTGTGTGGTGTTCTATCAACACATGATGAACATCTATTTTTCTGTGTGGTTGTTTCTCAGACATTACAAAGATCTTTGTTATGTTACCTTGATGTCCCTCAAGCCAATCCCATATTAGAGACATAAATCCATGTCTGCTCATTTTTTCAATATCTTGTATTCATAACTCAAGGAAAATAACCCAAAGATGCTATTTAATAGAAAAAAATATGTGAAAGAGGGTTGTTTCATAACCATTTAAAAGATCATATTTTATTTCTTCGGCACAAATGCTTTATTTCTTTGGTGCAAAATTTTCTTCATCAGGTCTCCAAAATACAGTACTTTTGAGCAATAATTGGAAGCAGTAAATGCATTCTCACTTTGTTCATATAGGCTGTAGGCAGGGATGCTCCACCTGTTAAGGAGCATGGAAAAAATGTTCTCTAGGAACCCCCTAGACCAGAGATCATGCTGCACTTGAAACAGATGAACAGACTTGTGCAATCCTTTAAACGAAAAAAATGCTTCTGCTAGTATATTAGGGTGATCTCCTAAAGACTCATTATAGTCCGTAAGAGCATTCACTTAAAATATGCTGTGCTCCCTGTGGGGGAGTGTGTTGGTGGCCATGACATTTCAAAGGAAGGTCACGGGCCTTTTATTTTGTCTTGCTCTTTTCATCCAAGTGCGTTGAGCTGTTGAGTAGTGTGTTCTTTTCCAAAGGAGCATCACTTTTGATACTGTCTTCCCAGAGTTCAATGTGTTCCACATGATTGCCGTGGGGCTGAGCAGCTCCATCCTGGGCTGCCTCCTTACTCTGCTCGTCTACACCTACTGTCAGCGGTACCAGCAGCAATCCCACGACGCCACCGTCATCCACCCTGTTGCTCCCGCCCCGCTCAACACCAGCATAACTAACCACATCAACAAACTGGACAAGTATGACTCGGTGGAAGCCATCAAGGTAAGGGATCGGCAGACGGAGGTGCAAGGAAGGGCCCTGGGGGCCATTGGCCAAGCTCCGGTGGGGGGTGGCTTGAGTGAAAGAGTGGAGAGCAAGGTAACGGGTGCCCCTCATGGTGAGCTGCCGTCTTAGCTTTGCTTTGCCTACAACAAAGATGGCGCCTTCTATGGGGAAGTAGGGTAAAAATAGGACTTGGAAACAGCAACGGATAAAATGCCAGAAAATATTGGGTCATTGGCCGATGTCCAGCTCTGCCTCCAATCCCCAGGATGGCATCCTGAGAAAAATTGTTACATTATGATAAAAACTATCTTCAAATAAATTTTATGCATAATGAAGGCTCTTCAGCTTTGCATGCTATTATGTGTGGGACGAAGTGTTGTGTTAAATTTTCTCAATGGGTGATTAATTCAGTGTTCGCCCCAGAAATAGAGAGTCAGTGGCCAGTCTCCTCGTTCTGAGGAAGAAGGAGTGGAAAGGACATTAGCTCTGGACCAGGCAGACCTGAGTCCATGAGTCACCAGCTGAGGCATTGTGTGTCAGGGTTTAGAATACAAGTCAGTTAATTCGTTGAACCTCGGTTTCTTCATCTTTAAAATGGGTATAGCAATGTGTACTGTCATATCTGTTGTGAGGACTAAATGGGATAACATGCAGGAGTCGGGGTATAGCTGGAAGGACACACAGGGCTCTTTTCGACTTCACCCCACATGCCCTGCCACCCACATGAATGAAGGACGTTCTCATTTTGATATTCCTCTTAAATTAGTGGTTCCCCATAACATTCCCAGGGAGCATTTTGATGCTCTCTCTGCTATGATGGTTTCCTTTGAAATTTGATTTCCTTCCCATGTGGGAATATGGAACGTCTTCAGCCCTTACAGTAAACTTCAGGTGGTTGGGAGGTCTTGTGTCCTGGGGACCACAGTGTCCTCTCTTGTTTACTTGGACAGAGACAGAGCCAGTTGGCTTTTACCCGTGCGTCTTGCTTACACCAGGATCCAGAACCCACCAGCACCTGATGCTAATCACCTGCTAGGGCCAGGGAATGAAGCCCCAGGCACTAATAACACTCCCCTCACACCCTCTCAGCACTGAGCTCCCAGAGTATGAGGAGGAACGTGAGCTCCTTTTATGAGCAAGAACCTTTCAAACAAGCCTTCAGAATCCAAGAATGGGGCTCCTCTAAATGTGATTCCAACCTATTGACTTGTGTGTTACTTTAAATGTCTCAAAGAGAATTTAGCTGGTCTTCTGATCTCACTTGAGATCCAGGAACCACCCAAGATAATAAGAAGTTTCACTGCTAGGAGGGCAGAGGGCTCTGAGGGCACTGACTGCTGCCTAGTCTCTAATGATCCTTCTGGAACTTTCTTCTGATACCTTGCCCAGACCAGTCCTGGACAGTTGGCCTCTGCCAACCATCTGACATCTTTATCAGTTCTTTTAATATTGAGGGTAAATATTAAATAGTTTGCATTTTGAAAGTGTAGGTGACTTTAATGACTTAATAAGGAAGGACAATCCGTGTCAGAAGTGGCTACAGTAGCCTGTGTTGGGGGGTCCAGAGCTGGGCCCCCCAGTAGTGTGCATATTATGGCCTGCTGAATGAGAAGGTACAGGCCACACGGGATCAGCAGGCAGGTCCCTCAGCACCCGAGCTCCTCCTTTGGGGGAAGAGAAACCCCGGGACTGTTTTAACTGAAGGCGCAGTTTCAGTACACTCACTCAGAGGAAGTCAGGTCCCAAGGATTATCACTTACCCATGCCCATGAGCCTGGGGAAGGGCAGTCCTCCATCCCTGGTCAGCAGTGAGCAGGAGACGAGAGAGGGTGGCACACCTGTTACTTATAAGGTGGTTCGGGCAGACATCACTCACGTTTTACAGGCTCAGCTCTTAAGTGGCTATTTTATTTTTTAATTTTATTAAAGATATTTATTTATTTATTTACTTATTTAGAGGGTGAGTGAGCGGAGGGGAGGGGCAGAGGGAGAGGGAGAGAATCTCAAGCAGCCTCCCCGCTGAGTCCATCTCAAGTCCCTGAGATCATGACCTGAGCTGAAATCAAGAGTCGAACACTCAACTAACTGAGCCACCCAGGCGCCCCTCTAAGTGGTTATTTTAAAAGGTGTCCCAGGATAGCTCTATTTTTAATGTCCTGAGGAATCTCCATACTGTTTTCCAGAGTGGTTGCACCAGCTTGCATTCCCACCAACCGTGTAAGATGGCTCCCCTTTCTCCACATCCTCGCCAACATTTGTCGTTTCCTGCCTTGTTAATTTTAACCATTCTGACTGGTTGCGGAAGGGGAGGTGGGTGGGGGATGGGGTAACTGGGTGATGAGCATTAAGGAAGGCACGTGATGTGATGAGCACTGGGTGTTATATGCAACTGATGAATCATTGAACACTACATCTGAAACTAGTGACGTACTATATGTTGGCTAATTGAATTTAAATTAAAAAAAAGGTGCCCCAGGAAAAGCAAAACAGGAACTTACGTGGAAACACTAAACTGGGGTCCTTAGGTAAATGTTCAGACTCTGGGTCTGAATGGGCTTGTCAGGCTGCAAAATGCCCAGGCAGCAACTTAGAATGGCTGTTTTCTCATCACTTGCTCACCTGCTAACTGTAGAAAATGAAAAGAAATCAAGCCATTTGAAATTTCATGCATTTACTTAAATAAGCTCCTTCAAAATCTCTTATCAATGTATCTGTCTGTGATAATCAGAAAGCCGCTTAAATTCTACTCAGTTACATAACATTCAAAGTGTCTGTTGATTTGAAATCACTAGAGTTTTAGGTTTGTTGAAGGTTTAGATTTCTCAAGATCTATATATCAAAAATTGCCAACCTCATTCTGGTCATGAGGCAGGTCCTCAGGAAGGCAAATAAGGGGAGGAAGCAAGTAAGTGAGAAATCATTTTAGAACAATGGAGCCTCAGAAGGGAGTTCAAGTTCAACATAATCGTCCCCTCATTATGTTATCTTTCCGAAATACTGCTTGTGGAGTATTCTTAAATCTTTCTTTTTATTATTACTTTACCTTTTACAGGCATTTAACAAAAACAACTTGATCCTAGAGGAAAGAAACAAGTACTTCAACCCGCATCTCACTGGGAAGACCTATTCTAACGCCTACTTTACAGATCTCAATAATTACGATGAGTACTAATAGCTGTTATATTTTTGGCTTCTTGTAATCCCCCAGTTTCTCAAGGCCTGTCCTCCATGACTGCCCATGTTTCCAAGACTTCAGAGATGAAGTTTGGATACATTTCAAGTGCATTTCAAGCCACGAGTGTCCCATTGCTGCCAAAAACAGACATCCTTAAAAGCAACAAAAATCTAAATATGATGTCGTGAAAACCTGGTCTAAGTGCTTGATCGTTGTTGAATGAGCCATGGCGTGAAGTTTTGTTTTGTTTTGTTTTTATTGTGTTCAGTCCATTTTTCTAACAAGTCCGTTGTTTTCGTGAGCTTTTTAATAAATGTACCACCCACATAGGAAGGAGTCTTTAGAAATAGGAATGTCTTCCTGCTCTTGAGCATAAATCTTCATGATGTTTTAATTCAAGAAAATAGACACTTCCGTTGAGAGTCCCCCTCCCTCCACAAGGAGTGTTAGGTCCACAGTATTTGATAAAATGAAGGATATGAATGTGGCTGTATCGTTACTCACCATGGATCTCCCATCTTCCCAACCTGCATAATTCTGTGGAATCCTTGGAAGCAACTTGTGTGTTTGGACTTCGGATGGTTCTCACCTGGGCAAGGGCAGGGATTCACCCTGGCTTGGGTCTGCAGAGGTGATGGTATGAGGTGTGACACACTCATCCCTCTGTTGGTCTTGATGCAGTTCTTGTGTTGTCCCTGGTGGAGTTGAGCTTAAAGACCAGAGGCTCAGACACGATGAAGGGTCCAGCATTCTGCGCAATGCTGCAAGGCTAGCCGCCATATTCTCACTTCTGGATTTCCTAGCATTCCAGGGAGCTCCTTGTCACGTGGTTGGCCCGGAAGCCTACCTGTCCGGTCCATAGTAACATCCTGAAGAGCCATCTGTAAAACCACCATTTGGTGGTTCACCATTTGGATATCCTCCTCAGCCTCTCTTATCCCTGCAAGGAAAGATCATGAACATTCATAATACCAATGAGGGAAAGTATTAAAAATACTTTGAAATATAATTGAAACCAACTTTTTTTTTCCCGTGTTATAGGAAGGTTCGAAAGAACTGACATTTAAGGAGAAGTAGCTTTTTATTTTCTGTCTCCTGATAGAACTAGTGTATGGCAATCAGCCCCTTCCCAGAGCATTACTGACATGTAGAACTGGTTTTCTGCAGCCCATCGATGTACATATTGAAGTGTGCCCCAAGTACCCAGCTGTCATTTGCTGCCTCCGGGTCCGGTGAGGAGGTTCTGGTGCCTTGTGTTTCTATCTATCTCAGTGCTGCCCTCCCCTCCGCCCCCTCCCACCTCTCCCTGCACAGAGGCAACAGCATTTCAAGATGTACCTTGAGAAAGCAGGGAAGTGAGGTTGTCAATGATCCCTGTGGTTCTGAGCATTGATCACCGCTAAGCATTTCAGAGTGCCGTCATGTATTCACAGAGGTCCCCGAAAGGAAAAAAGCGGGAGAAATTACTCATAAACAACTGATAAATAATACATGGCAGTTGGTTGAATAATTTTTGGAAGAAAGAACAAGATTGAAACTGCTCATCGGACACCCCTGACCGACATGGACAGTAAGACACGTTCTTATTGCACAGTGAACCTTCAGATCGGTGAATGTACGCAGCGCGGGCAGTGAGGAACACAGACTTATTAGCATACGTGTTTTTATCCTATCCAGTTGAAAGAAACAATTTCAGAAAGTGTTGGGGGAAATCCCACGTTTAGTCAAGAGTATTGTTGTATTGAAAATATTCTCACATACCCAGATTTTCAGAAGCTACTCTACTAAAATTCCAATTTAAATGGCAGGGGGTCTCCGGGAGGTCAGAGAGGTCGCACCTGAATGGTGTTCTGGGTCTTTCCAGGGGGGAGTCCATGTTGCCTCTCCTGCGTGGCTTGCCCGCTGTGTGAGGCCGCTGTGCTTGGACACACAGAGCCGAAGTCCACACTGAGGAGGTGAAATTCAGCCAGCTGGTTTCCTCATTGTTCCTCAGCTGGATTTGCACTGGATGCTTTAACTTGTGTCTTCACTTTCCTTTAAGAAAAATGTCCTCACTGTGAAGCACAATGTAGTTGCTTTTGAATCCCTTCCCCAGTGTTTTCTAAGCTTAAAAGGTCGTTTTATCTCCCCTGGGAAAGAGAATACTAATATTTGGAGAAAGCATCCCTGGACCTGATTAGAAATGCTTTCTAAGTGCTGTCCATGCTAGACTTCAGTCCATCCCCTGCAGTGACTGGGGACAGCACCCACCCTCCCCTTGGAGTTTTCACGTTTGCTGATGATACGTCCTGGAACTTACCGCTGCTGAGAAATGCTCTCATCTTTGTTCTCTGAAACTCTACTTAAAGAAAAATTACTCTGGCTTCTCTCTCTCTCTCTGTGTCTCTCTCACATTCTCCTTATTTCACAGAATTTCAATTCGTTAAGAATAATTTTAACTATAATCTAAGTATTCTAAGCAGCTACGGAGTAACTTTTGCTTTTCCATCCTTCTGCGGCTGTTGTTCGTAGGTGTGTGCCTCCCCTCCGTACCCCTGGTTGTTGCCTGAGCCCCAGGCGGCCTTTCACAAGGGTGCCTCCCACGTCCACCCGGACCTTCTCCCTAAAGCAGCTCTCCTGGAGGCTGCCACATTTGCCTTCCCCGTGGGTCACATTGTAAGTTTCTGGATGACTTTTTCTTTCGGTCTTTATCTTTTTTTTCTTTTCCTTCCTTCTGTTTTCCTCTCTCCCTCTCTCCTTCCTTCCTTCCTTCCTTCCTTCCTTCCTTCCTTCCTAGTACAAGCAGCGCAGATCGGGACTAATACTTTTAAGCCGCACTCCCTCTGAACCTAACATCGAATGACACTAATCACAGTTAAATCTCTAGGATTATTTCTGGATAGGGTTGAAGTTTGCCTGTTTTCATTAGGAAACTGGTTTTCGGCTCACATTAGTCTTCGGAAGTGATTCCCAGCGGCAGGGCTGCTCAGGGTCCTTTCTCCAGACCAAACGAGTGCCCATCCAGAGCGTCCAGCCTACAGAGGCCCACATCCTATGGAAGGAGAACACTGCACGGCTTTCCCCAAGGAGCGCTGTGGACCAGCGGCTGGCATGAGCCCAAGGGCTCGTCACCCCTGAGCGATGGGACTGTGACTTGGGAGGACCTCTGCCCCACGGAAGCCCCACCACCACCAGACCCGTTGCTTCCCTGCAGGGTTGCCCAGTTCGCTGGAGGTCCATGTCCCTGCTGCTTCAGGGAGGCCTCTGTGCCCCACTCCTGCAGGGATGTTCAGCAAGCCCACTTGGGTGCATTCTGAGGGCAAGTGGTGCTTCCTTGCGTGTGTATGTGGGGCGGGTGGAGGTGCCACAGGGCCTGCAGAGGAGTGGACTGTGGGGGGACACGCATCCCTGCCCCAGAGAAGCCCCTGTCCCTGGGAAGGGGCCGCCCTGTGCTCAGGGTGGACTGGGGTGTGGCCCCTGGACTCGTGGAATGATGCCAAAGAAAAGAGAAGCCAAGGTGGGAAAAGGTGAAAATGGGGACCTGGTGGCTCCCGAGCTGAGTGTGAGGGCCGGTCCCAGGTGGGGAGCCACGATGCACGCACAGCTCTTGGGGTCCGATGCCGGGACTCTTCCAGGACCAACTGCCCAAAGGGCGGGAGTTTCAGCCGAGGGTGGCCTTATTTACTTATTTATCTGCACATGGGTGAGAGTCGTGGGACTGAAAGCCCAGGAGGGTGAGTGTTTCCACTGGAGGCTTTGGTAGAATCCGTGGGTCAGACCACCTTTCAAGTTATGGACAAAGTCTCAGCGGGGGAATCCCGTGTCCCCAGGGCCACCTACAGGATACATGAGTGGTTAACGGAAGATCGGAGGAGATTTTATGTTAAATATATATCAAGTCTGTACTCAGCTAATCATTTTGCATAAACACTCCCTTAATGCACACTGAAGGTGCAGTCTTGGTAGTGTCTGAAATCACAAGTATCCTGATGCTTCTTTATGATATTTACTTGTTTTTAGAATAAATCGTGGACATGTCCCCGACACTGTCAAAACACCTTCAGCAGGATCTTTTACACTCCATTGGGGTTTTCTGGTGTGTGGCATTTGGGGTCCACTCCATTGAAGTCAGCATTTCCATCTCAAAAGCTTGGCTCTGGAGCACCATCCAGGGGCAACAGGTACCAGTGGGGGGTATAGTGAACTGCTTCTACGTCAAAGCAGCCATTCTCCACAGAGCAGGACTGTCCCTAAGCCTCCAGCTCCAATAATCAGTGTTCCCGAAGGTGGGAATTACAATGAGAACCTTAAATCAACTCATACGCAAACTCTCTGCTCTTCTTTTTAAGATGAGGCAAAAGTGGAGTTCTCGGATTGCGTTGGCATGCCCAGTACATTCATCCCTTCTCATGTCTCCATTACGTCATGACCATTCTTGTTACCTGGTGAGAATATGTGGACACAACATTGCAGATCTGATTACCTATGATTATCTATTGTCAGAAAACAAAGCCATGCTGAGCAGCACCTTGCTTCTCTGGGCAATGGGCGTGAAATGGGAGAACGTAAAGTAACTGTCACTTTGACCAGAGGAATACACAAAAAGGAATGCCAGTTATTCAGAGATCAAAGATTTGGAGACCAGAAACCATTATGGAATTTATTTCTGCTTTTCTCCTCTATTGAGATCATTAATAATAATTGATTGAAAGATGCTTTGTAACTGTACACATACTGACTCAAGGTATTCCTATTCTCTGTTTTGATAATCTGATAAAATACAGGGAAATAAATTGCTGGAATCCTTGGTTTTCCCTTTGGAAACTGAAAAGTAATGAACAAGATGCAATGTTGGATTATTGGCAGGGATTTCTATAATGACTATTCTGTCATTTTTTTTTTTATTATCCTGTCTCCTTTTTTTAATGGACTTATATTAAAGATGTGTTATACATATTTTGGGGAGCAGGTGGATCAAGGTTTTTTCGTCTGTCACATGTCGCATTATCAAAAATTTGATACATGTTACAAAAGCATCAGGAATGGAGATTGTTCTCTCTTGAAAACATAGCTTACACGGCACAGGGACTTAGAACATCGTCAAAACCAAAGTCAGAGCCTGACACCAGGTGTACGGTTCCTAACGTAAGCTGCCTCGTAGTATTTGCAAAAGATCGTATTTGTTTTGCCATCGAAAGCAATCAAGCTTATTACCCATGACCAGAGTCAGAATCCATTTTTGTTCCAACAGGTTTTACTGTATTTACATGGTGGGGGTAACTAGCCAAGGATAGTTTAAAACCAGAAAGGAACAAAGTAGAGAGAGAAAACCACTCTGTGGCACTTCTTAAACCAACATTTTGGACCAGCAATGCCATCCACTCCATCTCTTTATATTTAGGAAGAAATCTGAGGCCAGTGGTTGGAACATGAGTGACCCTATTCTTTTTCAGCTTCGTGGCAACTTAATGCCAAGTCGTCCAAATGTTAGGGGAATGGTAGTTCAAACTGGTTCAAATGCTCGGTAAATATGAGCTGGGAGCAAAATCTGGATTCTGGAAAATCCCAAACTGTCCTTCTATCATGTCACTGAGAAAAAAGCATTGTTCTCCATCCCCTGTAAGTGCAGAGAGTTTAATTCCCTATAAAAAGTTGCCAGTGCCTTGTTTGAGATGGTGATTTATCATCTCATCTGGATATTATTGGTTCCATTTCAAAGCAGAGGACTGACTGGCTGCACTTTGAAGAAAATCTTGTATGTCTCTTTGAACTCAGGAATAGAAAATGACCCACGGAGCACATCCTAGGTGTGATGTCTGCCCCCATTGGGTAGAGCACGTCGCACCAGAACAGGGGCAGATGTGTGTTCCGAGTTCAGGTTATTCTGGTCTCAGCCTTCCAGAAAGTGACATCACTTTAATTACACATCTTCCACAAAACACATTAGGGTTTGGTCTGTGGTAGGAATGCTGATGTGCTGCCTGTCGAAGTTAGAGTGTTTGTTACTGTCGCTCTTCAGGCAAGTCCACAGATAGAGGAAAATCAGGCTGGTGACAGCTGGTACAGATACACTGAGTGGAATGAGAACCACCTAGAACTTTGTGCGCTTTTTTGTTTTTTCAAGCCAACGTCAACACTGCTTACAAGTACACAAAGTTGTCAACCTTAATTTGGATTAAGAAAGTTAATGGTGTTTTCTCTGCGAAAGGTGTTTTTTTTCTTATACCGTGACTGTGGCCAACATCGAACTTGAACTTCTGCCCTTTGAAAGAAAGCACGGTTTGAACCTTCAACCCCAGCTCCTCCATTCACCACTGAAACTCTACGTCATCTGCAAAGAAAATGCACAAACTTGGTCCAGTGTAGGATTCTTCAAAAGTGGGTGACAAAGCTTGTGTGTTATGCCCCTTGACGTGACTTAATGAAGATGTTATGCTATTAAATGCCTCGTTCTGTGTTAATTTGCTGTTGCTGTTTTGTGATGCAAAATAAATGTATTCGGGATTGTTTCAGTTTTTCACTGAACCTTCTCCAAAGCCAACTACAGCCCTTGGGAAACTTGCAGAAAGTTCTTGACCTTAAAATTAATTTTTAAAAGACAATAAGTATTAATCATAATGGGGCTTTTTAGATGAGGGAGCATTTGCCTTTCCCTTCCTTTGAATGAAGAACTGGAGTTTTGATTGCCCTGTTGGAATCCTCGTGAATTGCCAGAACTTTCTTCACTGGGCCATTGGGTGCACTTTTTTTCTGTCCTTACGTTCGGTTTTCAAGGTTTCATTTGAACAAAAACCTTATTAGAAATGTGTAATACAAATTTCCAGTAGTCTTCACTTTCATGTTTTCTGTTCAGCAGTTCATTGGTCTTAAATGCTCACTTGAGAGCTGTCCAGGTCTATATCCAAGAACGTTGTTTAATGACACCTGACAGATACATTGCTTTCAAAAATCAGTTTGAGGTACCAACTGTGGCATCCCAGGCAGGGAGCTCATGAGCTGGTATGTTGAATCCATTATGGAAATTTTGAGAAGAGGCGGGTTGGGGGGGTTACCCGCCGATCAGCAGAAACCAACTCACACCTGCTCCAGGTCCCAACTCTGAGGAAAGCAAACATATTTATAAGATAAAATGAGCTGTTACTACAGAAGGGGAAATGCCGTGCTCACTGCTCTTGGTGAATTGCCAGTTTCTATAATCCAAACCAATTCATCTTTTTTAAACAGTAAATTCACGAAGAATGATCTTGAGTGCCACCAAGAGTGCAATCTTCCCTCCATTGCATCCCCTCCACACCATCTCTATCTGCCAACATTTTCGGACAAAAGAAGAGAATCCTGACTATGTACAGTATAAATTGTATTATATTTTTTGTACTTATGTTTTATGTAAATAGTTTGTCTCATTCAATTGTATGTGAGCATTGAAATAAATCCTACCATTTAGGAAACAATTTAGTGGAATTGTTCTTTGCCTCAACTTCCCTTTGCCCCCAGAGGCGCTAAGGCGTAACAGCTCCTTGAAGAAGGTTTCATCAGAGTGAGACTGGACAGCCTTCTGGGCAAACCCCCGATCAAGCTCCTGTTTGTTCTTCAGATCCCAAGGCCTCTTGAGTGGTGGCCAAGATCGGCACCCCCACAGCTTCACGATGATTCTGCAATGCAGTAAACAAGTAATAGAAATATTTCTGCAGGCGACAGGACCTACGTGAACAGGAAAGCCAACCAGGGTTTTAATTTACTAGGGGTCGATATCAGGTACTGTTGATGGTTCATTCATTAAGTTCTTTTCATCTTCTCTCCAGCACACCATATTCCATTATTTCTGGCCTAAAACAAGGTTTTTCTAGAATGAACTGCTGACTATCAGCATGAACACAGAAGATGCCTGACCCAGGAAAACCTCTGTTGAGTGAAAGCCACATTTTATATTGCAATATCCATGGTCCCCTTACCTCTTTCTCTCTCTCTCTTTCTCAGTTGTTCAAGACATAGTTGAACAAGGCAGGGGTTGGGGGTGCTGACGCCTGCAGTTGAAAATCCCCATATAACTTTTGACACGACCCCCCAAAAAAACTTTATTAATCGTTTACTGTTGACCAGAAGCCTTACCAGTCAGAGACACAGTCGATTAACACATATATTTTTTATGTTGTATGTATTACATACTTTATTCTTAAAGTAAGCTAGAGAAAAGCAAATGTTAAGAAAATCATGAGGAAGAGAAAATTTACAGTCCTGCATTAATAAAAAATAAAAATCCACGCGTAAATGGACGGCACAATTCAAACCTGTGTTGTTCAAGGGCCAACTGTGTGTGTGTGTGTGTGTGTATATATATACACTCACATATGTATATACAAAAAAGTGTAATTTCATATGTATATAAATTTTTAATTGCCTAAAAAGCTGAAAGAGCCCATTTAGTAAGGAGGCCAAAATTAACATAATAAAGTAAAAATATATAGTGAAGCATGTTATAATGATTAAACTATTCTTAACCCCAAGAAATAAAAGATTAATTTTTAATTTTTTTAAAATCTGTATTTTGTCCAAATCACCCAGGCTGACTACACCGTTTAAAGACCTCTCTCCTATTAGAAGGTTGGAAGGTTGGATGTCCTTTAGTGCTGAAAGAGTCCCAGAAGAATAATTTCTTTAAGCTTCTTGGGGACATCTGTTCTCTCCCCATTGAATACATTGACAATCCAGGAGGTTATTAGCTCTGGCTGCACATTATCTGAGTTTTTTGTTTTGTTTTTAAATATCATCCAGATCCCAGTTTCAACCAATTCAATTTGGATTCTGAGTATCTCTAGTTTATTAAATATTAGAATTTTAAAGCATTCCACGAAGAACCTACGTTTGGCTGTCAGTTTAGAAAGTGCGTGAAATAAGTAAGTGTTGTACCACAATTTTCTTTCTTGTGATTGTTTCTCAGAATCTTTGTATTTACAGAGATCCATTCTGCTACTTAGACATTCTCACACAATGCTTATGTAACCAGTTCTTCTTTTTAAAGTCTACTTCGTTCTTAAAAAAATAAAATGGAAATATGATTTAAAGTACTTTTTTGGACCTATTTGAAATATATAATGTAAATTTCCATTTAAAGTGTCTCCTGGTGCCCAGCTTGTGAAGAAAGCAGAAATGATTGAGCATCTTGACTGCACAAATGTAGCTATTTAATGTAAAAGGAACTTGTCTTTAAAATAATATCTGAAATAGTATTATTTTTCTGGAATTACACTTGGTTTATCTTTAAAGCAGATATGATTTGGTTTATACAACAAAACAGAAAACGATGCTGACAGGATATTCTCTCACTAAATCAGGTTGGCATACATTTTCTTTGGAAGAGTCTGAAGCTCTCACCTCACCCCTGCAATCCCAGTCAGAGCCAGGGCTGAAACAAGACGGCGTTGGATAAGTGTGTGTGTGTTCTGGGTGGTGCCGAGCTCTTAAGGCTAGCTACCAAAAGTGTAACAGAAGAAATAAAGTCCGAAAGGAACCCTTGTAAAAGTATTCCTCATACAATACACAGAATTGTAAGTGCTCATCTCTAGTTTGAAAAGCTTCTACTAAAATTTGAAAATGAGTCTCACCGGAGAGCACAGAGAAACTTTGCTGAATTATGACTTTCTGATCGTAATGGATGTGGGCTTGATTTGAGATGGCCAAAGAGAGTCAACTCTGAGATCACTCATAATAATAGTGGTCTCAGAGGCCATCCTTCCTCAGAAACTCAGGAGGAGGGTAACATTCCAGTGCTCAGCAAATGCCCAACTACAGTTTTCTTCCTCCTCAATTTCCTTCCTCTCCCACCCCTCGGATTTGCTGTCATGCCCAGTTTTCTGCTTACAGTAGATGCTCTTTATAGGGTCTTGTGCTCTCCAAGGTCATGCACCCCTGGTGGCCACACCTCACCCTTCCCTGAGAGAGGGATGGCGGTGGCCGCGACAAGGCACCAGGAAAATCTGTCATTGGGCAGCAGGTGGCCAAACAGCCCTTCAGAGAGTGTATGCATGGCCCTTTTCACCCCCAGAACCTCAAAACACACCATTCTCCCTTGCGACCTTCTCCATATTTTTTATCCTCCTTTCTCTGTTTACTTCCTTGCTGGAAGTCCCACGAATCTGTTTTGTTGAAAGAGCGGAGTTTTTGAGTGTGAAGTAAAGTTTGAGAGAAAGTGGTGAAGTCCCGTAATTTTCCAGAGAGGGAAGGACCTTTGAAGACCCCAGGAGGTGCGGCACAGAGGCAGGTTCAAACCCAGCTCAGCAAACCCCCACTAAGAGTGCTCTCGTCTCCAGCCTCAATGTCTGCAGGCTTCCCTTCATCTGGAGGAAACGCAGGGATCTTCAAACCCCTGCTGAGAACCTCAGTCATCATTAATCGCTTTAATGTCTATGAGCTCCTTAGAAAACGTTTCATGATAATGCATTTATCCAACTCCCTCTGCTCAAACACTGTCCTGGTTCGGCGTTTAGGAGGTTTTCCCACTCTTATTCTAGAGTCTAGAGGTAATCTAAAAATAAACGAGACAGAACAAGGCATTCACATGTTCACACACAGTTGGGAATCCCACAACATTCCACCATGATGCCCAAAGGTGGGGATGAAATGACAGGTGGTGTGGTTCAAGCCAAGATCTGTTCCCTCAAGTGCTCTGAGTCTTCTGTGGAGAGAGAAGCTGAAGGGCATAAATGCACCAGTTTGAAGAGGGCATGGCACACACGCAGTTCCAAAGAGATCATCACCTTGTGTTAAAGATCATCTGATGGCCCCACATTTGGTTAAAAAATGGAGCATGGGGAAAGGCACATACAGGCTTCACTTCCCACTTTGCTTCTCCCCACCTAGCTTCTTAGATCTTCAACTCTCCCCCAATGAAAAACCAATCTGTTTCTGGTTCTCTTTCCTGAGACCAGAATACATTATGAGATCCAGGCTTGGTGGGCCTTTCTCAGAAGAAAAAGAGGGTGTCCTTTCACAAATCTTGGCGGTTATAATTCAACAACATAATTAATTGAAACAAGTTCCATCTCTCTCTCTCTTTTTTTTTTTTTTAAGTGGAGCCCAAGGTGAGGCTTGGACTCACAACCCTAAGATCAAGACCCTGAGATCCAGACATGAGTTGAGCTCAAGAGTCAGACACTTAGGAGACTGAGCTACCCAGGCACCCCAAGTTCCATCTCTTCTAAGTTTGGATAAATGCGACCTGGTGTTTTAAGCCAGTTAATCCCATAAACAAGGAAAATACTCCTTCTGCTTGAAGAAAGACAGCCTATTTTTAGCAACAGCCTGCTGATGGGGAACAATCCCATTACAACTGAACATTACTGTGCTGAGTAACTAATAAGATTTGGGTAAAAGTTATACAATTTGGGCTTGTCATTCTCCTCTCTCTCTAAGCAGTGTTGTTGCCCATGCCAGAAACTAATTAAGGCACAATTCTTTGGAAACATTCATTAAATCAGGCACTTATAAAGATTAAAAAATTACGGTAAATTACAAATACTTTGCTAGAACAACTGATACACTCGGAAAGGAAGTGACCTGGATAGATGTGAGAATTGGAAAAAGTGTCTGTAAAGATTCTAACTGAAGCAGGTTTCCTTTGTTCTTCATGGCAAGGGAGGCAGGTGGGAAACAAATAAAGGACTGAAACTAGCCCAAGGATCATTCTTTCATCTCATTCAGTGCATACAGACTTGTAGCTGCTCTGTTTTTCTTTCTGAAAAGTGCAATACCCGCTTCTGAATCCCTTTCAAAAAGCCAATAAATTGTTTCATTTTCCTAATTTATGTTGAAGGTACAAAAAAACTTGCTCAGTTATCAAACCAAATGTGGAAATGAGAGATGGAGATTATACCTGTATTCCCAAAGCAAGAATTCTACATCATTCCATGTAATTTTCCCAAAAGTTTTAAAGTGTTATTATACCTTTTTAAAAAAGATTTTATTTATTTTTAGAGAGAGAAGGCATACAGTGGGGGGAGGGAGGGAGAGGGAGAGAGAGAATCCCAAGCAGACTCCTGGCTGAGTGAGGAGCCCAACTTAGGGCTCGATCTCACGACTCTGAGATCATGACCTGAGCCGAAATCAAGAGCTGGAAGCTTAACTGACTGCGCTACCCAGGCGCCCCAGTTATTATATCTTAATGATAAAAATAAGTGAGGTTGAGATTATTTAGGTCTCTTTTCCTCAAAACACACAAAGGGCTGAAAACAAGATAAAGTAGTACCCAGTCCAAGGTGGCATGGTGCATTTCTGTAGGGTCTGTGGTTACTTTACTCCTAAAGGAGGTTATTGTCTTTGAAAACTTTGAGCACAAATTTCCTGAATCATAAAGATGATATAAACTCTGCTGATTTTCATGCTTGTGAAGAAATCAGAATTCAGAAATTATATGATGCTATACATTTAGCACTAATTGGTTAGATAAGTCCAAAGA